GGTAAAGAGAGGGCATAAAACCCACCTTGCCAAACAACAGGCCAGTGAGGCTCGCCTGAAACAATGGCTTCCATCCTGCTGTGTCTCTTTCTCTGCAGAAATTCCAAGTAAGGAGATGGAAACCCCCCACTTGGCCCTGACCCACCAGAGCACTTGGCCCAGAATCACACATGCCACCTGCCCAAAACTCACCTCGGCAGGCCCAGGCTCCGCTGGAGGCCGCGGTTCTCCTCCCCTCCTCCCCCTGCGCCTCAGGCCCCTGCCCACCCCCACCCGACAGCTCCCAGAGGCCCATCCCCTGTCCTGTGCACCTGCTCAGCCCACAGCTATCAAACCCAAGGGAGGGCGGGGCCTATTTGCATCCTATTTGCATTCTATTCCCTGCCCTGTGCCTGTTCCTTTTCTGTTACCTCTCTGGGGATGCTTTTTTGGGTGCAGCTGGACTATCCTGGAACCACCTCTGGGTGGGCTTGGGGAGTGCAGAAGCAGTAGGCCCTGCAGCTTCCCCGCCCTGCCCACCACCCCGCCTTCCCCTGCCCGAGCCGGCATCCAGCACTGGGCACCCGCGCCCAACTTCCCTTGCTGCTGGGGCTACTGAGTCTCTAAGGTTGTGCGTCTCCAAGAGCCTCTGATCTTCCCTTTAGGAATTCCCACTTGCTGGGGGGAGAGATTGTGCTGGGAGGGAGCGACCCCCAGTATTACCAGGAGAATTTCCACTATGTGAGCATCAGCAAGACTGGCTCCTGGCAGATCAAAATGAAAGGGTCAGGAATCCCCACCCCTCTGCTCTCTCCAGAAATGCTGCTGCTGCTGGGGGTGGGGTCAGAAAGGGGAGGGTTACCGTCCTGCCCTCTCTTCTAATGCAGCTGATTCTTAAGGCTCAGCCGACATTTGCTCTCTGCCTGCTTTGTCCAGGGATGGGGGACACTGAGATAGATGGCCAGAGGGGAGGGGGCCTTCTGAGAGAAAGTGGAGTGCCACTAAGCCATGTGCTGATGGAGGGGGCAGCACCTTTCCTCCTTCAGCTCACGCATTACCCATCCTTCACTGCACCACTGGACCACAAGCATGGCCTCTCATCACTTGCTGTCACTCAGGAAAGCTATGCAGCCTGGTGATGCCCCATCAGCCTCCTGTCCATCTGTCTGACTGTGGCCTCCTCCAGGGTGTCTGTGAGGTCGGCCACCTTGCTCTGTGAGGAGGGCTGCATGGTGGTGGTGGATACCGGTGCATCCTACATCTCGGGTCCCACCAGCTCCATGAGGCTGCTCATGGAGACACTGGGGGCCAAGGAGCTGAGCACGGATGAAGTAAGGAGATAGGGAGGGAGGGAGGGTACCAAGGATGGGGGGAGCAGCACCTGGTCCAGGCCCCCAAATCACTCCAGGAAACATTAGGTCCCAAACAAGACTGTTCCAGGCCTCCCTCCCCTGCCTCTCATACCCTTCCCATGTGTGGCTTGGTCTCTAGTAGTAGGGGATTGGGACTTGGGGACTGCGCCCAGCCCTCTCCAGTGGAGGGACCAGACCACAAGCAGAGGGATGTGTCTGCTTGGGGACCTCCCACACTCAGATGGGCTCCCTTTGCCCTCCCTGATGCCAGTATGTCGTGAACTGTAACCAAGTGCCCACACTTCCCGACATCTCCTTCCACCTCGGAGGCAGAGCCTACACACTTACCAGTGCGGACTACGTATTGCAGGTGAGTCTCCAGTCTGCCCCTAGGTGACAGGGGAAGGGTGGCAGGGGTCCTCAAAAAGAGATGAGACATTATGCACAGATTACATGCTAGACCAGTGGTTCTCAAACTAGGTTGCTATTAGAGTCATCTGGGAGCTTTTAGAACTCCCAGTAACAAGCCATGTCCCTTACTTACTGAATCTCTGTGGATAGCAACTGGGCATCGGGGTTTTCAAGACTCGCCAGGTGATTCCAACGTGCAGCAAATTCGGGGATCACTGTGCTCATCTCCTGATCTTCGTTTTCTCATCAAATGCTGCGCTCGTACGTTCTCATCCACTTGTTATCCTCAGTGGGTTTAGAGGCGTTAAATACCTTGTCTAGGATCAGAAGCTCTGCCAGACTGTAAGCTCCTGAAGGCAGCATTGTGTCTGATGCATTGTGAGCCCAGCATCCAGCTTCGATCCTGCATCCAGGAGGGGTGCGATGCATAATGGTTGAAGGGGCCAGGATGCAATGGGGGCCCACTGTGGATGGGGCATGGGACGGCTGTGGGGGGTCAGGCGAGGTGGTTATGTATTGGGCAGTGGGGAACCTCTCTTGCTTCCTGCTAGGACCCATACAATGATGATAATCTTTGCACACTGGCCCTCCACGGTCTGGACGTCCCTCCACCCACTGGGCCAGTCTGGGTCCTGGGTGCCACCTTCATCCGCAAGTTCTACACAGAATTTGATCGGCGTAACAATCGCATTGGCTTTGCTCTGGCACGCTGAGGCCCTCTGCTGCCTGGCAGGCCCTGCCCTCAGCCCTAGCCCAGAGCTAGAGCACTCTGGGTGCCGCCCACTCGCCTGTCTTTGTGCCTTCACTCAGGGGCACGGTGCATGGAGCTTTTCCTGGATGTGTGCCCTGCCCCTAGCACTGGCTCTTCCCTGCTTTGAGAACAAACAGAATAAAGACTTCATATTCACAACCCCGTTGCACCTGGGTTCACTAGGGTTTGAAACAGTGGGAGGCATAGCCGTGCGATCATGTGCAGACAAGAATGTGACAGAATGATAAACTATACATTCCCTCACATGCACAGGTCCCTGCGTGCAGGGCTGATGTCATCCGTCCGACGTCAGCAGGGCTCAAGTGGACTTGTTTATACAACCTGGGTGGGAAGTTTGTAGAGAGCCAGCCCCTTGAGGACCAGGGCTACTACTGTGGCAGTGGACTGTGGGCCGGGAAGATGCTCCCAGCTCATGGAGGCCAGCCTCAAGTTCAGGCTCTGCACTCAGGCACTGCAAACCACCGCCCCACCCCCACTCCCACACAGCCAGTGAGACATGCAATCTAAGGCACTAACACCTAAAAACGGAGAACACCAGAGATCGGACTGATACTCCCTTTTTACATGTGGAGAAACTGAGGCTCAGGGAATGAAAGCTTTGGCCAAGACTGCTCAGTGAAGTGTGAAAAATCAAGACTGGAATGCTGCCAGTCTGGCTCAGGTCCTGGGGGCATTCCTTCTTACCACATACAGGTGTATCTTCATCCTGGCGTGGGGCCAGGTGCGCAAGCACACAGATGCATGTACTGCTGTCCTCCATCTCACCAACTTGGGACTCAGCATGCTGAAGTCTTCTCCCCCTCCCAACCCTTGGTCTGTCTGCAGGGGATGTGCAGCTTGGGGAATGCGAGGTGGCATCCACCTGCAGTCACTGAGGTCGTCCCTCTTCATGATAACTGCTCACGCCTCTTTTCACCAAAAAGGGTGAGGTACTGAGTAGCCCACCCAGGCCCCAGAGAACCTTATACGTCTAGAATCACAGCCCCTTGGGATTATATGGGACCCCAGAGTCCCTCTAGGGTTGCATTCCCACATCTGCAGCAACCCTGTGCAGAGCCAAGGGCACAGTTCTGAGTTTGCTTGCTAGCTTGACTCTATTTCCTCCTTGCAAAAAAGAAGAGTTGGAATCAGTGTCCTTCCCAGTTTGACATGCCTTAGGGAGGCAGCACCTCCCGCCCATCGTCTCCTACCCTGTTCAGTAGGACAGCCATAGATGGCTATTTACATTAAACGTACAATTAAATTAAATGTCATACTAGCAACATTTCAAGTGCTGGATTGTCACATGTGGCCACTGCAATGGACAGTACAGATAACAGAACATTTCCATCACCGCAGAAGTTCCCCTGGGCAGAGCTGGGTTCTGGACAGCAATCATGATAGGGCCTTGTGACTGAGAGGTTCCTGAAAGGGACAACGTGGAGAAATAGGCACTTTTCTGGGTGGTGCAGTGAGGGCTCTCCCACGTGGGCTGGTGAGTAGGGAAGTCCCTATTGGCTCATCCATTCCCAAATGTAGCCCCCATGGTCTCCTCTCCATCGAAAAAGGTCTTTGAGATGCAGCAGGGTCTGCCCCCTCCCGCAGGACCTCTTCCAGGAGTCTAGGGACTGGGGTGGGGGCAGGAAGCTGGGGCACAGGTGGTCCTGCCCAAGTTGACCTCTTGGAAGCAGCCGCATCTCCATACTCCAGGATGGAGTGGGGG